TTCCTCACTAGTTCCTCAATTTTGACCCATCACCGTTGAGATGCATTGCCATTGAGGATGAACGACCTCAACAAGATTCGACAGTACATGCCCCAAGCGGTGTACAAGCAGATCGAGTGTGGTCAGGGCCCCAGCTGAAGACTTTCAACCGATGCTTCCGTTTGTCAGCTGCATTAATTTATACAAAATATCCAAAAAGATAGTAAGGCATTTACCATCTGTTTATTTAACATAGCCATGGAAAATCACCATTTTTAATAGGTAAACCATCTATAAATGGGCCATTTTCCATGGCTATGTTAGTCATAACCAGAGGGTACCACTACTGCTTTAGTGGAATTTTACATGTCTATCTATCTTTTTGGGGTTGCTATGTTGCGATCTACAAGTTAGTTTCATTTTTTGTTGCTTTCAAGTTTTGAGTTGAGAGCTTAGTAATTTAGGTTGATAATGTCAAGTCAACTGCGGTTTTTTTTCACCTTGTCTTCTGCCAACTCCAGCAGGTACCCTGACCTATGTCAATGAAATGCGCAACATCTCGACGATTTTTATCAATGGATCAGGTGGAGCCGTGCTGCTGATGGATGCTGATGGGACTTGATGCGACCATGGACCAGCCATTTCAATCCACATTTCTGGGTTGATTACAGAACGCATGCAACTGTTGTATATGATCAAACATGGCTCAAATTTATTAACATTCAAAATTAGATGATAGGGTACATCTTTAACATTCTTAGAAAAATCGCGAAACCATATCAAACATTCTGGTGAAAGTCTTGAATTGCGACACACACCTGCAAGTTTAGATGGTATTTTTGATGTCCCGTACGGCCGTACGGTAGGCTTGGACATCATGTCGGAGCAAGGGCCAATGATTGCACAGGTCTCTGCTGGGTCGGATGGTGGTGGTTGCCAGTGGTACCACTTGCAAGTTGTTGGGAATTTCTTATCCATCCTGGTTTCTCAAACTTATCCATGGAGTTGTGACCGTTGAAGTTCTTCGACATTATTTTGCAATCTTCAGCTACAAGAATTGCATTTTGGACAGAATCTGCAAGTACTTCAAAGTCGCGACTCAAGAATACAAATTTGCTGTTTCATTTGCAGGCACGAATACCGAATAGCCATTTTGAAGATCTTTGGAATCGAGTAACTCATCAGCACTCAAACCTCTCAGCATCTGGCAGGAGCTGATGTCATCAGTGCAGGAATGTTGCTATCAGCATGAGGGCACCCTGAATAAGTTTCTGATTGATGACAAAGGCATGCTCTTCCTTTTGGTTGGGAGCCCAGTTGGATCCAAGACTGGTTGGCTGTGCTGTAAGAGACAATCTGTGAAAGCCATGGAAAGACCCATAAAAATCTCATGGGATTTAAACGTTTTTTTTCCTTTTTCAAATGGGCAATAAATTGATGAATTTTGGAGGTATACCATGGTATACCCCATTTTCAGATGCGCCCATATCTTTGGTGATGAACTGCCACCATCGCTGAAAAAAATGACGTCAACTTACTCGCAAAGCTCAGCTGATGCAATCGGATGACAACGACTGGGGCGCAAAGCTTTTTTCAAGGACCCCCCATTAATATCTCCATTATTGTTGATTACATGTCCCATCGTATATCTATGTATATCTATCCCGATTTGTTTGTTTTACATTTGATATCATTTGATGTTTAAACTGGTGAAGTCATGAAATTCCTGATTTTCTATCTGTTTAATCCGCTGGTTCAACCCATTCTCCATGGATTTTCCAGACCTCACCGAGGTCTTTGGCTTGCCACCCTTGGTGCACACAGACGACCCGACCCGTGCTGTCTTGGCTTGCTTCGACATGTTGAAGGCAGCTGGACACCAGACCACGGCGACATGACGCGGGAGATTGGACATTTTTTCATAATCCCAAATCGATTATTGGAATTGGATCAGAATCATAATATCCCAAATCATAATCATAATCATAATCCCAAATCATAATCATAATCCCAAAGCGATTAGATCATCGAATAAGATCAAGGAAGTTCATTGAAACACCTTCAGACTATTCAGACTATCAGAATCCATCGCTGAAAAAAAGGCTTCGGATTGTTTCAGCCTTGCTATGACGAAGTTGGTCAGTGCAGGTCTTCAAACGGCTGAAGCTCTTCGGCAAGTTTGGCGTGACCACCGGACGGAGCTATTGCCAGCACCTGAGAACGGGGCGGTGCGGGATTGGCATGGTATCATATTTTTGCCAATGCCATGGGGATATATAATTATCAGGGTGTACGCGCGATAAAAATATGGGTCTGGCTCAAATTTATCGACCCTGTTTTTGGATGGCAAAATACTTACGTAGAAAAATCCAAAGAGACCATCATTTTGAGCCATACGCATATGGTCATGGGAAAGACACCTGACAAAGGCTGGGAGTCAAGGGCCCCAACGTGGTGCCTGGCGTTTGATCCAGATGAGCTGCTCATCAGCTAGGGATGGGTCTCTCCTTGGGATGTTCATCCCCGTTGATTTTTCTATTTTTTTGGGATGGGTTTGAACCCATCAGAATGATCCACCATAGCCCACTTGGTGGCATTTGAAACCATGCCCACAAGAAGGAGGTTTGTATTCTTCTTCTTCTTCTTCTTATGATAATGTCTATTGCACTGCGATGACATATTCCAGTGATTGCTTATTGTTGTTGTGACCATTTGTTCTTGGCTAACCATCAGCCGACGTGCCCAGGTGGTGTTTGCGGCAGTGCCCGCCGAATGGAGTACACAGTCCTCGGGGATTGTGTGAACTTGTCGGTGCGGAGCCCTTGAGCGGAAGCTGGGGGGCAGCAGAATTTTGGGATGATCATCTATTAGAAAAGGGCCTAAATAGAGAACAACAAGTGTGACACCTGAAAATGTGAAGTACATATAACATGATCGAAAACATTCTGGAAACACTTTTCTATTTTTTGAGGGTTGCTGTATTGAATAGAATTTATTGGAATTGTACATATATGTATATAAAATATCAGGCAGTCAGATGCAAAGAGAACCCACTTGCAGCACTCAGCTCCAAGCTGATCATGCCCAGTCTTTGTAGGGCAATGGGTGTCCCCTTTTCACTTGCAAATCTCTTGCAACCGACCGTCATGTTGAAGAGGGTGACCATTGCAAGTAGAACAGGCTGCATTTCGTAATGTCCTGAACATGTTCGACCACGGCGGTTGGTGCAGACTTGGATGCTTCAGGCGAGGCTTATGGCCAATGCCCGTGAGAACACCATTCTTTGCGACGACAACACGCGCAGACGCTCCACAACCGAGGTGCAGCCCAGCCCCGCCCCGTGGGTTGTTCAGTGTTGCATCGAACGACGCTTCCCGTCAGATCATCTTCAACGCCTTAGCTCCGATCTACGTCAAGGGAAAGGTGGGGGAAGGGGCCTAGAGGGGTGCCTAGAGAGATCCATGAGAGACACTTGTGAAAGATTCATAAACCTCCAGAATCTGAAACATATTGAATTTACATTTTCATGCTCAGGAGGGCATGATTGACATCTTCCAACCGGTGAAGAAGGATTACAGCAAAACCATTGGTTTGAACAAGCACCAGCTTCTTGGAGACCAAAAAAAGGGGCAGATGGTTTCGGCAAACTTCTTGGATCTTTGAATTTGCCAGTTGTGAGATAAAGAAAGCGTCGGTTCGTGGTTTGGCCGGCTTCGTCAATTTTGGGTAGTCTCACCTGCCATCATCCAATCTATGTATATATATATATATCCTCCCTTTCTGTTGGGACATGATATGAATGCTTTCTCGACTGTGCATCACTCTGTTCACTTCTTCGCCTTACAAGACTTTTGTGTAACGAGAGAATGGGCCAAGAATTCCAATTCACATATATTCACATGACGGTTGTAGTATACTCAAACTCATTGGCTTCCCCATTCAGGTAGCATGCCAGGTAGATCCAGGCCATGCTATGGCCCCTTTCGTCCACCGACACCCACGACCGATGCTGAGGATGATCTCTTTCCCTTGGCATCAAAATGCCTTTGGCGGCGTGTCTTCGGGAGGCGAGGGTGGAATCCTCTGGGATATCCAGCATTTTTTTTTGGACCCAAAGCTATCCCCAGATAAAGTTAGAACTATTAGAACTAGGAATCCACATCATGTATCATAGATTTTTTCGTATAAATTAATATGTCATTATATATCATTAAAAAAAATCCATTAGAGATACAGTATCCCCATGAAAGATTCATGAAACGGTGGCGTTTCATCCCCATCATATCACCATCAAAAATCACCATCTTATTAAACATCCCAAGAAATATCTCCGAGAGTTTCCATCTCATGTGTCATGCATCCCCCTATGGTCCTTGTACAATCCCAATGTCAATTCTTAGGTCCAGGCTGGTGAATCCCATAGAAATCCCCACCCGAACCGTGGCCGAAGACGTCAGGTTTGTCCGTGGCGGAGCTTCAGGAGGGTGTGATCCGACTTTGCAGCATCAAGTCGTGGCAGGGTATCTCCAGAGTCAGCCTCTGAGTGACGAAAACCGGGGCATGTCCTGTGCCGAAAAAAAGATTGATTTACCCTCTGACTAACATAGCCATGGTATAGATGGCCCATAGAAATAGATGGTTTACCTGGGTTTATCTATTAAAAATCTCTGAAGATTATTGGAACATACCACATTAATGATCATTCATCTGGATAAATGGGGATCTAATGGGATATGAATGGGGATACATTATATACCCTCTGGTTATGACTGACATAGCCGCATAGCCATGGAAATCACCATGCTATTAATAGGTAGACCATCTATTTCTATGGTGATTTTCCATGGCGAACTGTTAAATAACCAGATGGTAAGATGGTTTAGTTTAGCACTGGTGAAATATGGAGCTAGCTTCTGGTAATTTCACATGGCTAGCTAGCTGATGACGATGATATTCTCCAGTTTTAATGGAACATGAACGCGAGAATCATTGAACTTGGTGGGTGATTTTCCATCTAGCCA